GCGAGGTGGCTCCCAATAGCCAAGGGGGGGAGGGGGGTGGCTATTGGTCCCCACCTCGCGGGGTGGGTGTAATATTGTGAGTAATATCATCCTTTCCCAGGTGGAAATTTGGAACAGTATCACCGGGGACATGTACCCGCCCTGCGATATTGAAAGTAATATCGTCCTCTTCCTTCCTGGATCATGGGAACGTCATCACTGACGGGTGTACACTTTCTGCGATATTCGGGGTAACATCATCTTGTCTGCCTTGGAATATTAAGGACCATATCACAGGGGGGCTTGTACATCTTCTGCAATATTGGGAATGAAATTGTCCTCTCTTTCCCTGCAAATTAGTAACGATATCACAGAATGAGCGTTCACCTCCTGCGATAATTACCACCTTCTCCCCCTCCGGATATCAGGAAGAGTATCACACGAGGGTATACAGTGTCTGCGATACTGGGAGTAACATCATCCTCTCGGCCTTGAGATATTATGAAGAATATCACAGGGTGGATGTTCACCGCCTGCTATATTGGGAGTAATATCAGCCTCTCCCTTCCGTGGATATTAGGAACAATATCGCACGCTGGGTTTACGCCTCCTGCTCTATGGGGAGTCATATCATCCTCTCCCTTCCAGCATATTAATAACAACATTACAGGGCGGGTGAACACAGCCCGTGATACTGGAATTATTAGCCTCCTCTCCCCCTCCGGGTAGTAGGAACAATATCACAGAAGAGCTCTAACTTCCCTGCGATTTCGGGAGTAATATCATACGCTTCCTCCGTGATTATTAGGAGCAATATCACCAGGTGGCTGTCCATTCATTGCTATGTTGGGAGTCATGTCATACTCTACCCCCCTAGATATTAGGATCAGTGTCACAGGGTGAGTGTACACTTACTGCGATATTAAACTAATATCATGCTCTCCGTTCCTGGATATTAGGAACGACATCACAGGTAGGTATACACCCCCTGCGATATTAGGAGTCATAATATGATTAATTATTAAACACCAATGATCGATTTTAATAATTATCAATGATACTATTAATTAATAGGATACCATTATTAATTATGGATAATTATGTTACATATATGATTATGCAGGCTTCAAATTAATTATTAATATTAATGTTATTTCACAATATTATTAGTTCTTAATATTATTATTTTATTACCAACATCTCTTAGTATTGATTTCAGTAACATTAATTGCTGATGTCATTATTTTATTAATAGTCATATTACTATTAATTATTAATACTAATCGTTAACATTTTTAACCAGTATTAATGTTTACTATCTTTTTGTGATTATTAATGTCAATAATTATTATTTTTATTATATTTATTAATATTAATAATTAATAGACTTGTTCCTGATATCCGGCTGGGAGAGGATATTACTCCCAATATCGAAGAAAGTGTACACCCCTCTATGATGTTATTCCTAAGAGCCAGGAGGTAGAGGTTGACATTATCGGAACTATAGCAGTGGGTGTACATCCACTCGGTCATCTTGTTCCTTATATCCTGGGTGGGAGAGGATGATATCACTCCCAATATTGCAAGGGGTGTAGACCTCCCCCGTGCTATTGTCCCTAACTTCCAAAGGTGGAGGGGATGATATTTCTTCCGATTTCGCAGTGGGTGTACACCACCCCTGTGATATGATTCCTAATATCCAGGGGGTGAGAGGATGATATTAGTCTCAATATTGCAGGAGTTGTACACTCCCTAGTGATATTGTTCCTAATATCCAGGGATGGAGAGAACGGTATCACTCCCAATAGAGCAGGGGGTGTACACCCCTTCTGTAACATTGTTCCTAATAGCCAGCAGGGGAGAGGAAGATATTACTCCCAATATTGCAGGTGGTGCACACTCCCTTGTGATATTGTTCCCTATATCCTGGCAGGGAGACGATGATACTAGTGACAATATTGCAGGCTGTGTACACACCCCCCACTGTGATATTGTTCTGAATATCCAGAGGGAGAGGAAATGATAGGACTCCCAATATCACAGGGGGTGTACATCCTCCTGTGATATTGTTTCTTATATTCAGGGGGAGAGGATGATATTACTCCCAATATCACAGGGGTTGTACACCCCTCCTGTGATATTGTTCTTAATATCCTAGGGAAGAGAGAATGATACCACACCCAGTATCGCAGGGGGTGTACACCCACCCAGTGATGTTGTTCTTAATGTACTCCACCCCCCACCACCAGGGATATCGTTCCTAATATCCAGGGGAAGAGAGGGTAACATTATGCCCAATATCGCAGGGGAGTGTACACACCCTCTGTGATGTTGTTCCTAGTATCCAAGGGTAGACACGATGATATTACTGGCCATATCGCAGGGGGTGTACACCCTTCTGTGACATTGTTTTTGACATTCAGTGGGGGAGAGGATAACATTAATCCCAATATCACAGAAGGTGGACAGACCCCTGTGATGTAGTTCCTACTGCACAGGGGAAAGAGAAGAATATTGCTCTCAATATCGCAGGGGTGTAACCACCCTGCCCCTGTATATTGTTCCTAATATGCGGCGGGGTGGAGGCTGATAGTACTCCCAATATCCCAGAAGGCGCACACACCCCTGTGATATAGTTCCTAATATCCAGCGGGAAAGAGGCTGGACGATACCCCTGGAGTATCATTCCTAATTTCCAGGCGGGGGGGTGTTGACCTCTAGGCCCCCCATCCTGGCCACTGTGTTTTGTGGGGATCACTCAGTCCTGGGAGCTTCCTGGGGACCCCAGAAGGAAGAGAACAGGGTGGTCATGGCAGCCTCAGCCCCAGGCTCTGGGCCCAAGTGCAACAGAAGGAAGAGAACAGAGTGGTCATGGCAGCCTCAGCCCCAGGCTCTGGGCCCAAGTGCAGCAGTCCTTTGATTCTGGTTTGATCTGGGCAGTAACAACAGGTCATGTCATTCACACAAGGATTGGCTCCAATATAATGCATCAAGGGACTGTGGAGGACACAGATCAGCCTCCAGGCCAGTTACACCTGGTGGCTTAGCCAGTGCAGGCTGGGGAGTAGAAAAGCTGACCCCTGACCTCCCCACCTACCCTGCCCACAGATGCCAGTAGCTGCCAGGGATCCCCGACTTCACGCAGAGGCAGGCAGCACAGTTGCTGCCTCCTTTGATCCCATCCCAGGGCCCACAGGGCCTTGAGAAACTTGGCAGGGGCTGAGTTGGGAGAATCAGGCAAGGGGATGCCAAGTGAAGAATGTGAGGGACTGGGTATGAGGGGCACTAAGGGCACAGGGTCTGCTTCCCTTGGGGAGGTGGCCGTGGGACATATAGTAGCCAAGCCTCCGCAGGCCCCACCCTGCTGCCAGGCACATGTGGTGCCCATACCCACCCCAACGGCTGCAGGAAGGTTCTTCATCAACAAAAGGGGAGGACGCACCCACACCCACATAGGCATGGGTGCCCACACACATCAGAGAAGAAAATTGCTGCTGTGGCTAAGGTGTGGGGAAAGGGGCAATGTCCCTTTCCTCCCCATGGTGGGTCCAAAATTACCTCCTCCCGCCAGCACTCCCACCCCCAACTCCACAAGCTGCTGACCTCCACCACAGCGCCACGCCACGTGCCAAGAACAGCTCAGCGGTACATCCCAAAGGGTGCTATCCTGGAGCGGCTGTGCTGGGCAAGGGACATGTTTCCTAGTCACAGAGGTTTTCTTTCTTTACTACTCACTGGCCCTGTGCCTTGGTTTCCCCCACTGTGGCAGTGTAAAAATCCCACCTTGAAGGCTAGGAACCCACAAAGGTCACCACACCTGGTGAAATGGGGGTGAAACTCCCTGCCTTGGACCTCTTGCTCCAGGACTGATGTCCATTGGGACATGGCCAGGCCAGCATCCCGGGGAGGGCTGCATTCCCTGCCTGGGGAACCTTGCTCCCAGTTAGGGATCGCTGGAGTTGAGGCCCCTAATGGATCGGGGGAGGCACAGGGGTAGAATGGAGGTAGCCCCATCATACGGGCCTGTGTAGACCCCAGAAAACAAGCAGAGTTCAGACACTTGTCTGAAGCTGGCCACATGAAAGGATTTGGGCTTTGGGGTGTGATGAGGGCCTGGGGTCAGGGAACAAAGTATGCTGGTTTGGACACGCAGGAGGTTCTCTGCAGCTCTCTCAGGTACAGGGTGTGTTGCTAAGTATATGCTTTCAAAAACCCTAGGAGGAGGGGGCACCCAGAAGGGGCCCTGAAGCCGACGGCAAGGTCCAGCCTTCCCACCTCACCAGCTGAAGACAGGCTGGAGGACAATTCTCCAGAGTTTCATAAAAAAGAAGAGAAAAAAGAAATCAAAAAGACCTGGAGGATAGGCAAGCTAATGAGGACTGACTGGGATTACCCTGCCTAACCCTCAAAACAAGAATTCCCTATCTGTCCTCTGGGCCAGGTGAGGAAACAGGCCACAGCAGGACATTCAGACCCTGGGCAGGCAGCTGGCAGCCTGGAGCCCAGGAGGTCCTAACAGACTGCCCCAACCCCAGCCCTCAGCCAGGAGCAGCTCCGCCCACGGCTCATTCACTGGTAAATCAGGCCCACTGGGCTGCCTGCCCTTCCCCAATCCCCCTGGCTTACCAGGCCACAGCCTCCCTGCTCCTGGCTGCCAGACTGCGGATGGCAGTGCACGCCCCCTCCATTCTGGCTTCTCAGCTGCCCACCAGGCCATCCCTCTCTGCCAGGCCACCTGGAGCCTGGCCGTGTGCATGCGGGGTGGACAGCACCTGGAATACTTGGGCCGGCTTGGCTGGGGGCTGCGGTTCCTGTGCAGGGTGGAGTTAGCGCCCCATCCCATTCCCTGGCCCCATGGCCCCTCTGAGAAGACCCTCCACATACTGCCAGGCCTTGACCACCAGTAGCCCCACATCCGGGAGGCATCGACGTGCTCACCTCTGGTTGGCAGTGGGCATGAAACCCTGGGGCAGACCCCTTAGAATCCCAGGTATGAGAAAGCTAGGTGAGGGCAAGGGTGGCATCAGAGTGAAGGGGGCCTGCCCCTCCACATCTGTGGGTATTTCTCGAAAGACGGAGACAAGAGACTGAGAAAAGAAATAAGACACAGAGACAAAGTATAGAGGAAGAAAAGTGGGCCCAGGGGACCTGCGCTCAGCATACGGAGGATCCTCACCGACACTGGTCTCTGGAGTTCCCTCAGTATTTATTGATCACTATCTCTACTACCTCCGCAAGGGGGATGTGGCAGGACTACAGGGTAGTGGTGGGGAGAGGGTCAGGAGGAAAACGTGTGAGCAAAGGCCTCTGTGTCATAAACAAGTGTAAGGAAAGGTGCTGTGCCTCGATGTGCACGTCGGCCAGATTGATGTTTGACTTTACACCAACATCTCCGTGCAGTGAAGAGCAGTATTGCCGCCCGCACGTCTCGCCTCCAGCCATAAGGCGGTTTTCTCCTATCTCAGTAAATACAGTGTATGGTCAGGTTTTACCCCGAGACATTCCATTCCCAGGGATGAGCAGGAGACAGATGCCTTCCTCTTATATCAACTGCAAAACGGCCTCCTCTTCCACTAATCCTCCTCAGCACAGACCCTTTACAGGGGTCGGGCTGGGGGACAGTCAGGTCTTTCCCTTCCCAAGAGGCCATATCTCAGGCTGCCTCAGCGGGGAGAAACCCTGGACAACACCCAGGCTTTCTTGGGCAGAGGTCCCTGAGGCTTTCCGCAGTGCACTGTGTCCCTGGGTACTCGACACTGGAGAATGGCGATGACTTTTACCAAGCATACTGCCTGCAAACACATTTTCACTAAGGCACATCCTGCACAGCCCTAAATCCATTCAACCTTGAGTCAATACAGCACATGCTTCTGTGAGCACAGGGCTGGGGCTGGGGTTACAGATTAACAGCATCTCAAGGCAGAAGAATTTTTCTTAGTACACATCAAAATGGACTTTCTTATGTCCGTGTCTTTCTACATAGACACAGTAATAGTCTGATCTCTCTTTCTTTCCCCCACGCAGAGAGTGTCACCACTGTATGTCAGCCTCTGGGGGACAGGCTTCAGCTTCCACCCACCTTCCAAATTCCACCCTCTCACCTTGGCAGAAGCTGGCCTGGAATTGGAGCCAATGGATGGGTGGGGTCTGCAGACGACACTGTGTTCAGGTCTCCATGACGGCCTCACACGGGGGTGGTGGCCCTGCAGTTCCAGGTGCCACACACACGCCAGCCCCTGCTCGGGCCCTGATCTTTGAGGCAGGGGAGCAGCAGAACCCGGGCACTGACCCCACAGTGCCACTCACACCCACAGACGATTCTCCACACAGGCATCAGGTCTTGGTCCTGGCCACCTCCCCCTGCAGGGCCTCAGCTCTTTCCCGGGACTCACGTGGTCCTTCCTCACATGCCGCTCTGGTAGGATGCATTGCTCTGTACCCAGGGGCTCTGAGGTGACAATGGCCACGCTCGTGCAGAGTGCAAGGGCACAGGCTGAGTGTCCATTGTGGGGACCCTGACTGCAGCACTCTCAGACTATCATCGGGCATGCTGGCCCTCAGGCTTAGCTAGGGCACCAGCGGTAGGAGTACACTGCTCTGGACTCTGCAGGAGGAGGACAACTGTCACCGCATCTTTATGTTCTCCTACTGGTGTCACTCTGTGCTTCTCATCTCCTGGTTGTAGGATTCAGGGCAGACTCTCTGAACACCTTGTGGGAAATAGCAGAGTCCAGCAGAGAAGAGAAAAGCCCAGCTGCAAAGATGAAAAAATGGCAGGTGTGACATGGGCCCCCATTCAGATTCTGTATTTAAATGAGGTCTTCTGGAACACCTGCTCTCATTGGATAATACTTCAAATATATATATGTGTATATATACAT